TTAAATCACTTCAGGGTCTGTTGAAGCTTCACAACAGTCTGTTCAGGAACCACGCTTGTTGTCTTAAGTCTTTTGGCAGGGGATGGGTGCTCCCCTTGCCTCTGTTATCATTACTTGGAACCATCTTTTGTACCTCCTCTCCTGCTGCTTATGGTGCTGATCCTGACTCCAGGGTGGAGGGAGGATGGACACACGAAATGTTCTTTTAATGCAAATTGTCCTTAAGGAAGTTACAACTGCTGACACACTGTAAGAGGTTTAGCAGGTTTCCCAAGGAACTGTTATTTTATTTCTCCAATGATGGTCAAGAGGTGCCAGTTACCCTTGAAAAAAACTAAAAAGTGCAGCCATCCCAGAGCCCTGGACAGGAACAGTGCATGCTAGATGATTAGAAACTGGATTGTCAGGCATAGAAATAGATGTTGCAAGGTTAAATGCCAGCTGGTGGAGTGCCAAATCAGCCTGGACCCAGCTTGGTGAAGAAACTTAATTTTGGTCTGACAACAGGGATTTTTCAAAAAGGCCCAGTGGAGGGAGTTGTTCTAGTAGTCGCATCAAACATTGGTGAGTGTCTGAGCTGTATGTGTGTGGCAGTAAATCTGCCGAATGCTGTTCATGGAGCATCCTGGAAATCTCAGTGTTCTGTGATACAGTTCTCCTGTGAGCCAAATACCTTCTATGCATCTCAACATATTTCTCCCTTACTTTAGATGATACCACCACAGCACCATTATTTTGAACCATGAATAGGATGCTTTATTGTTAACTCAACCTTGTAGTTTTGTGGTTAGGATAATTACACCAAGAGAAGGAGCTCCTGGAATTAACTCCCACGTCTTCCTCCTGGCATTGTTTACTGCTTTCTATTGCTGATTTAATAGTTATGTTGGAGGATCTAGAATTGCCTCATGATACTTCAAATAGTCCTATTGTAACAGGTGTAATTATATCTGGGGAAGCTAGAAAGAGCTCTTCTCCATTCCTGTAGCCATTGCATACGTTCTTGCTAGCTAAATAAATCCTCTGTTCATTCTAAGCTAGACCCTTACAAAGGTGCAGTTGGGGCAGGAGAGGTGATGGGTCCAGAGCTCAACATGCTCTGTTCACTGTGGGGGGATGATGAATTATTTTTAACTTTCTCTAGTGACCACCTCCCTTTTTTGGTTCAGTGAAAGCTTTAATTAGTGGTAACTGAACTTCTGCTCTGCCCTGCTCACCTGGAGCACTGTGGAGAGCTGGTTTTAGCATGACACATGGAAAATTGCCTTTTGTTCCTTCAAATAAGGCTACCCTGAAATACATTTTATTTAAACTTATACTACAGCAGTTGCTTCGGACACCGAGGCCCTGGCACAGAAGAATTTTTTGCCTGGAGACCAGAGCATCCCAGATATTTGGGAGGGTAAAGATCTGTTAGATCTAGTTTACCTTCATCCTTCCCCCTTCCTTTGGCCACCAGGGTTGTTTCCTACATGTGTTCTCCCCATAGGGTACCCTCCAGGCCTCTCAAGTAATGGGACTGTTCTCATTTCCCTGGAGAGATTATTCCTCTACCTGATGTCACAGGTAGGAAACTTTCTCTGTCATCCAGCCTGAATTTTACCTTGTTGCGCTTTAGCCCTGTTCTTCTAATTAGGATTTACACTTCCTACATGATTCCTTTTCTCTAGTAGGTGTTTGCAGCCTTCTGAGATTTAGAAATGAACATCTTATCCAGGTCAGAGACACTTTATTGAAGTAGCAAGAGGGCTGGGGCAGATGGGTTCATGCCTCTGGAAGGCTTTGACCTGAGGCTTGAGAACAAGTGCTGGTGCATATACAAAGCCCCAGCAGGCTCATCCTAAATCTCGGGCAAGTTCTGCGCAGCACTCCAGCTGCAGTAATTAACACTTTTCCATTTCCAGAGCATGTGATAAACATTATTTAATCCTCACCACACCCCAGATTGCTGGGAGGGGTCATTGTCCTTATTTTACAGAATGGTGAAGCCGAGCCAGGGAGAGGTGAAATGATGTGCCTGAGGCTGCAAAGGGTTGGGTACTTCAGCCAAGAATGCGAGAGTTTCCAGCTCCTGTTTTTTTCAGCCCTCTTAACCCCCGTGTTTCGCTCCTTATAATAAACAACATGCGGGCAAACAGCTGAGCTGCTGGGGTGGGAGGGTAGATTTGCTGGAATGTCATTAATGCACAAGATAAACATATGCTTTGGAAACAGAGCTTTAAGTAAATGGTTTGCATTAAACCTTGGTCCCTCGGAAGGAGAACTGCACTGGTAACAAATACTAGGTGAAGGGAGTGGATCCAGAGCACTTTAATAAATGAAAAACTGCTAAAAATCAATCGAACCTGCTGTCCCTTACAATTCCAGTTACAATCCTCCCCTTTCCTAGATGGGTTCCAGGCACATCTTCCGCTCAGCTTGGTTTGCATTGCCGCCTAGAGGCCAAGACTATTCTGAGCAAGAGCAAAACTTTTTTTTTGCACTGGCTTTGTGGGGCAGCAGGGGGAAGCAGGATGTTTTGGTTTGAATTCTTCTTGGGTGTCTCAGGATCTGGTTCTGTGGCTGCTAGACCCCCTCTTGCTTTAGTCAGCATTTTGGTTTCTGCTTATTGTGTCCATATTTGTCCTGTTTGCAGCAGGGCAGGAAGTTGTTTTGGAGCATGAGGGAGCAGGCATGTGTTAAACTGCAAGGTCAGCTGAATTCTCAGGGTATTTTTGATCCCTGGATTTCTCAAGCTGCATCCTCTGGAAGTGCCAGCTCAGAGCCTTGCAGCCCTCAGGAGGTGTACCTCCATGTCGTCACAGCCAAGGGCCAGGAAAGATGACAGCAGAGACCCAATATCTGCTGCAGGCAGCAGGTTATGTTGTCTAATCATGTGCAGGGTGTGCGTAGGCAGGCAGGCCTTGTGCTCTCTAGACAGACAAATTTCTTGACTGAGTTTTCCCTGTCTGCTGCAGAGAGGTGAAATGTGCTGAGGCTCAGATCATTGTGAGCACCACAGCACTTTACAGGCACACAGGACGATGAGGTCCCTGTCCTTAGGTGCTCATGGCATCTAGAAAGCCTTCTAGGAGTAGATCTGATGCCTGGCATGGAGGGCTGACTGGGTATGGTTGTAAAAGAGAAACTCTTAAAAGCATGGCAGGACCAGGGGGAGGCAGCTGCCAAGGACCTGCATGGGATGAGCAAGGCAAGGCAAGAGAAGGGAGCATTTTCCCTTTGTTTTCCTTTGTCAGTGAACTGCTTTCCTTGCACTGTCCAAGTGTATGTGTGTGCGTATGTGTATATGGACTGTCAGGGAGTTGAAAGACTATATTATTCAACCACTGTAAATGGTATATGGTCTATACCATCCATCCACACACACAAACACAAAACATTTTTATGTCAGATCTAATGTAGACAGAGGTAGCTGTGAGGAGACCTAAGCAGACAGTGATCTTGAAGAGGGATTTGGAGTGTCAAGAGTAAGAGGCAGACCCTGCAATACAGTCAGTCAACCATGCCACAGTAGGAGGTCCCATTTTTGTCCAATGGGTGCTCATTGAGCTGCAGTGATTGGGCCCCTGGGCCAAGACTTTCAGAAATGGCCTATGAGTTTGGAAGTCCATTTTGAGAGAGGCCTTACTTTCTGAGGGCACTTTTGAAAGTTGGGCTGTTTAGGGCTATGTCCGAGCTTTCAGGTGTTCAGAACCAGGCAGGCTGTTGCATCAGAACAGCCTCGGTTGGGGAATTTGGGCATTTCTGTCTGGAACCATAAAAATGGCGGCAGTGAGAAGATAACCAGATGTTACATATCCTTGTCATCTTAAGCTTTACTGTACTTCAGAGTAGTTTGAACTAAGGTTCACCTGCTTCTCAGTTCACAGGAGCCCATGTTCCAGTTCATCCATCTGTGATGATGCTAATAGTTTGCTTCAGTAGTGGTGGCAATGCTTATGTAGCTCCAGGGCACAGATGGGTAGCAAGTGAAGAGGCCTCACCTGGCTGCACTGATCTCACCTGGCTGCTCATTTTCTCCTCCTCTTCACTCTGACCATGTTTCTGACTCACCTCTTTCACAACGGGGTCCAAAGGGCATCTGGCTCATGTAGCTTTCTGCAGGCTGGCAGTAGCCAGAGAGCAGCAGCTCAGTGTATGGCCTGGTGGTGATGGGGTGCATGGATTGTGTCTTGTTCCCCATGTTCAGGTGGTGACTTTGCATCTGTAGATCTGGTCCTGGAGCAATATGTGGTGGTTGCAGATTACCAGAAACAGGAGAGCTCCGAGATCAGCCTGTGCGTGGGCCAGACGGTGGATATCATTGAGAAAAATGAATCAGGTGAGGAGAACCTAGCTGTCTGTGGACCCAAACACATGATCTGACAGAGCTTTTGTATTCCCCCCATCACTAGTGAGCAGAATGCCTGACGATCTCCTACTGTCATCATGAGTGAACAGCCTTGAGGTCCCCTGGGCTGTGTCCTCATCCTGAAGGCAGCTGGCTGGCCTGTGTGAAAACAGCTGGGGGTTTCAGGCATTCTTATGGGCAGGACCAAAATTTTGGCCCCTAAGTAAAGAGTTTGGTTTTCAAAAGTGCTGGCACTGGGGAGGTTCAGCTGGAGTTGTGCTTGCTCAGCATTTCTGAGAATCACCCCATTTTCTGAGAAACCTAAAGGTGGATTTAAGGGCCTAACTTTTTAGGGCCCTGCTATTTAAAATCTTGGTTCATGTGGGTCATGACAAGAGCCAGCCCACAACTGGTATCATATTCATGGCCTCAGCTGGGTATAAAAAAGAGTGAACCCCAAGAGAGTAACAAAAGATAGGGGAGCCCTGCTGAAATGAATAGAACCACTTGCTTGCACAAAGTTTAAGACGTATGTAAGTACTTTGAAGGAATTGTGTCGAGTAATTTAAACCCAGCTACTGGGATTTGTTTAAAAGATTCTTTATTTATTGTGTGCCTCCTTTCCTAACAAAGGCTCAGGGCAGCTTACAGTAGAAATTGTATTTAAAACAATCTTATAATAGCCTTTGCCTTGGGTTTTAATATTAAGGTAACTCAAACCCAAGAAGATTAATTGTGCTAGTGTCTACTTGTGGACAACTAAAATGTATAACTGACCTTGTAGCCAATGACTGGGAGAGCAGTGTCAACCAAAAAATCAGTAGGAAACAATTTATTAAATTTCAAACCTACTTTTCTGTTAACAAAATTGTACCTACACAGCTCAGTGCCTTTTTCCTTCAAGTTAATTCGTCTTATTAAGTGATTCACCAGTTAAGCTTTATGATACTAAAGTTTAGTCTCTAGCTGATTCTCTCAACAAAGAGCTTTTGGTTGGCTCATTGTGATTGGTCATACAGGGTCACACAGCATCATTTATGATCTCTAATTGACTTATTAGGTTTCCAGTAGAAAAAAAATCCTGTTTCAGCTCTGAATTTACTTTCCAGAAATAGTCTTTAAAATTCAGTGTTTCCACAAATGTGCAGAGGGCAGAAACACAGCTAGAGCCAGTGCAGCACTTATTGATTTGCAGACAGTTCATTCATATCTACTAATTAGACAGGCCTTGCTGACCAAACTGAGGGAAGTGCAGAGAGCAGCAGATAATATAAAAAAGAAAAGTAAATGAGGTGTTAAAGTTCATTCACTTCTGAGAATCTTTGCTGCTTTTAGTGACACCAGGGAGAGAACTGGTCTTTTAAGACCCTGACTGGTTTCCCTTTTAAACTGTAAATGCCATTAAAACAGTTGCTGTCTCCCACATTCCCCTTTTGGGCAGCTATTTGTTATCTTGCTGTGAAGTCAGTTTGGCATTGACCCACTTTCCTGCATCCCAGACTTTCGTGTACAGAGCGAGGCAGAGATGTGGTAAGCCTGACTGGGGAGAATAGAGCTCTCAGCTGGTGGCTGAGTGTGTGTTTTCCAAATGAATGTCCCCAGATAAAGTGTCTGTTGCTTGTTTTCAGGCTGGTGGTTTGTGAGCACATCTGATGAGCAAGGCTGGGTCCCAGCTACATGCCTGGAAGCTCAGGATGGAGTCCAGGATGAATTCTCTATGCAGCCTGAAGAAGGTAAGAGACCAGTTTGAAAAGAGCTAACTCAGCCAGTCTGCCCGTCCACATGGAGCACCTTGTATCACTTATCTTTCACACTTTGCAGGATGGAGTCCAGGGAGGGACACACAGGTGATCTTGGATCAGGTCATTTAGCAAGACCTTAACCTCCCTGTCATCCCAGCATTGGTTGGCGTGCACTGCAGCTAATTGTTCTAATGCTTTAGCCACCAGTAGAGCAGACAAATACTGGGATTCATTGGGTGGTCTTGTCCCTCCTCCCCCAAAGGGGCTGAGGGGCCACCTCCACAAAACACGCAGTCTTTCAGCTTAGAGGAACCCTGTTCTGTAGTGCTGGCAGGAACAGCAAGACATTTGCCCTTGCCCCATTTCATTTCACATGAAGTTATAGCCATCCCATTAGCATCCTGTGAGGCAGGCAGGAGCAAGAAGCCTGGAGCCACATGGTCAGGTTAACATGGACACAGACTTTATTTATGATAGTACCCTCCATGTTTTGTTGAATCCTGCATACCACACAGCCTACACCCATCTAGGAACAGGGTGACCAAGAACACTATGCCTAAATAAGCATCCTAATTAGCTCTGCCCTGCAGCCTGAGGAAGGGAGGGCTTGGTGGGGAGGATCTGAAGTCCAGGTGAGTATAAACTGTCAAATCCCTGCCTTCTTACAGAATCATCTGTGGTCAGGTCTTATTGTTGCCTCCTTATATCCTCTTTTGTCCCTCTCCTGCTTCCCCAACACGCTTCTCCCAGTCCCATGGAGATACTGGTCTCTGCCAAGGCATGTTGGCCGCCGTCGGACTCTTGGGGATTTGTACACCAGTGGATGGGGTCAAGGTCAATGCTGCAGAGACTTCTGCTGCCTTTGTTCTGTGCTTGGAGCCTCTCTGTCTGCATGTGCTGCAGCCTGTGGTATTTGCATGCCTTGCATGTGAACTTTTTGCTAGCCTTGTGCACTCTAAGGTGTGTGTGTGTGTGTGTACACGTGGATGCATGCATTGCTGCCCCGGCTGGCTGCAATGGCAGAGTGCTCATCTCTGTGACCCTTCCCTCTGCTAGCTGCTCCATTTAGCTCTGGGCCTGGAAGCTGATGCTTCTATTCCTTGGACTCTCGCAGATATGAAAACTACTCACAACTGTAGCATTTAGTTGGGTTGGAACTTGTGCACTTGGCTGCAAAACTTGTTCTTGGCACTTCAGCTGGGGTTGAGAAGTGAAAGTCAGCTTGGAACTACTGGGTGTGACAGTACATGTCCTGGTCTCAACTTGTGGCATGGAGTGCTTGGAGAGTCACATGGAAGAGAAACTTCCAACTCTCCAGTGGTCAGTTCTCCTCCAGGAATACGGAGTAGAGCAGCTCTGGGGCAGGGTGATATAACGCTTAATATCTCTGGATGTGGCCAAGACTGATTTTTCTCTGCATCTTCCTCCAGCAGTGACTGAGCACAAGCTGTGAGCCGTTGGCATAAGTTTGCTTTTCTAAAGAAGAGGACCAGGGTGGGGGAGAGGAATGAATAGAGAGGATCTTACAGTTCTGTTTGCAAAGTGGCTCTGGCTAGAAGATTGCTTCTTTCCTTTTGAGAGGAGCTTCCATTTCCATGTCCCCTCATTCCTTCCAGTGAATAGGATGCCAGCATGGGAAATCTGTTCCTGCCTCTGCCACAGCCTCATTCTAAGACCTTGGACAAGTGGGCCCTTGCTCAGCTATTTCCTTGTATTGAATGGGGTGATTGGTGCAAACCTGCCTTTGTAAGGTGATTTGAATCCATGCATGATAATGTGTTTTTATTATGTGTATAAATTATCATGATGGTTTTCCCCACTACCTGAACCATGGAGAGTTCTAGTCACCGGTGTTACAAGGGGGTAAATGCAAACTGGAACAGGTGCAGAGGAGGACTTCTGAGTTGATCAGGGGAATGGAGAGCTTGTCTTACAAGAGGAGACTTTGAAGAGCTTGGCTTGATTAGCTGAATACAATGAAGGCTGAGAAGGGATAGAAACACCAGTCCAGGATGAACACCACAAAAGGAAGAACATAATTTAAGATAAGGGACATGGTTGACACAGAAACAAATGGGATTCAGTTGGTCATGAATAAGGATAGGCTGGAAATTAGAATAAGATTTCTAGCCATTAGAGCAGTAAGGTTCTGGATCAGCCCTCCCATGGGATAAAAAGGCTAATACATTTTGACATGAAGCTTGATCAGTTGTTATAAATGGGTATGCATGACATGTTTTGCTCTGATAGCAGGGGATTGGACCTGTTGACCTAGGAATGCCCTACTAGTCCTGTAAAATATGGTTAGACCCACACCGTGGTACAGCATGACTGGGTGAACACAAGAGGTAGGAGGATTAAATGACACCCACAAGGACAATCTTCAGGCTAGCATTAGATGAGCTGGAAGAGAATTGGGTTTCTGAAAGGGGTTGAGCCCATTCCAGCTTGTCTAGAAGTGGCTGTAATAGAAGGATGTGAGGCAGTGGGGGGGTGCATATTCTTGGGGCTTTGGAAATGACAGAGAACACAGTTATGAAGGACAGGAAGGGAACCATTTAGAGGGCTACTTCAACTTTGCCTGGCCTAGCTTGACCACACAGACTGTATGGCCCTGCACATTGCTTTGGTGAACTGGTGTGCAGTAGCTGAGAACAAATCTAGTGGCATTTTGAAATGCATTTTACAGGCCATTCTGTCTCAAATGGTTGCATCTGTGTGTGTGTGCGTGTGTGTGTAACATATATAAAAACAGGAGCTGCACTTTCCATAGCGTGGGTATGTAGTTGCTGTTTAATGTGTTGGTTTTTTTTTCCCAGATGGTCCATTTTTAAACTGTGCTTTCTGTTCAACAGAAGAGAAATACACAGTCATTTACCCATACACTGCTAGAGACCAGGATGAAATGAACCTAGACAGAGGGGCCGTGGTGGAGGTGATCCAGAAAAACCTGGAGGGTTGGTGGAAAATAAGGTACTTTTTGCCTTTCTGCTGCTCCTCTGTGCTGTTGGCAGGGTTTGTGCAAAGCAGAGACCAGAATTGGAACCATATTGAGCACAATCGTTTTTGAGAGGGCTTTCCTTCATCTTCTACAGCAGCATTCTCAAGTTTGGATAGGTGTGTTAGGTTCAACCTACACATTACACTTAAAGTGTGATTAACCAGTTAATCATGACTCAAGTGGTCACACGACCACTTCTTCAATCAGTTCATGGTGTGATAAAAAGAGGAATAAGCTAGAAAGTTATTCCACAAAATATGTGTGATTACTTTATAGCTGCTTCCTATCCTGCCATTAATTGAACATGCGGCCAGGGGCCCTTATGGCTGGGAACCCCCTCAGTAGATCACAGCTCCCAGCTGGGGCAGGGCGTTCATGCGCACCTCTGAGCCTGGAAGTTCCCAGCTGAGCCTGGTTACCGGCCCCTGAGGCTGGGAGACTCATCATCTGACAAGACTCCCAGCCACAGGAGCAACCCACACAGATTGCAGCTGATGATCCCTGTGGCTGGGAGCCCAGATCAGGTAATGGGGCTCCCAGCTGTGGGAGCACATGGTGTGCCCCTATGACTGGGAGCCCCATCAGCTGGGAGGGCTCCTAGCTGCAGGAGCTTGTACCAACAATAAGGCACAGTGGGATCTATTGCACAATCCACAAAATCATGCTTCCTGTCATGCATGTGTGGCATGGCAGAAGATGCAGTTGTGTGGATCACACTTTAGATTCTGTCATGCCTTTATCTGCATGTGTAGAGGGGCCCTTAGGGATAGATCTAGGTGCATTGTTTTGTGACAAATAATTTATCTGCCAAAAATGTGATTTCAGGGTGAGTGAAACTATTTACAAATTTAGGTCAATTTTGGCAAACGCATCCTGCTTAAAAAAAAAACAGGTAAAGAATCAGGAATGTCAAAATGTTTTATTTATATATTTTCAAGTGAGACTAAGTTTAGCTAATATTTTTAAATAAAATTCCCCAAAATATAATTTCAGGGAAAGGTGAACATTTTATCTGATGCAAAAAATGAATTTCCTTGGTGCATTTGCATTTCTAGTAGGAAAACCAAAACCATTTTTTTTTTTAACTCGTTGGCCTGAAACTCGATTGTTTTGTTTTGGCTTTTCATTTGATTCAGCCACTGAACCAAATCACAGTCTCCCTTCCAAAATGGCATAGGTCTGTTGAAGTCCAAAGTGCATAGTTAAAACACAGTTCAGCCTCATCAGGGGTGAGCCATGTTTTCCTTGTGTCTAATGTTACTCCCTTCTCCATTGTGATGAAAAATAACTGCATGCTGGTGACAGTCCATCGTGTGAACATCACCTAGGCAGGCTGGGTCATCAGACTGTGTTACAAAGCTTCTGTTGGGATGTGTTGCCATCTGGCCAGACCTGCAATGTTTCATGCACTCCGCAAGCCAGAAAACTCTGAGTATCTTGGGCTGAGGCTTGTTTAGTCTTGGACAGTGCATTAGCGAAGGGCGTGAACAGAGCAGGGTGGGTGTCATGCCTTGATTTTCTTAACCTTGCACTGAACCTGTGGTATTGGCAGCAGCCAGGCCAGAAAAAAAGGCCATTGACTTTTTAAACTGAGAAAAGCTGCCATAAAATACCTGAGCCAATTACAAGCAGAGCAGCTGGTGCCATTTGAACCCAATGACTTCACCCCCACACAGCAGAAAGTGTTTTCCTGACATTGGCATGAGACCCTCTTATATGGCAGAGGCGTTGTGTGGATGTGGTTTTTCAATCAGAGCGCGAGGTTGGGTTCTCTATTAAACTTTGTGTGAATTTTTAGAGCAGGAAAGAAGCCAGCCTGACAGCTGAGCAGCTGAATGCCTGTTTTCCATCCAAGGGGCAGGTACAGAACGGGCAGCAGCGGCTGTTCACTTTTCCCCTACGCTGTCCTGGCAGCATGTTTCAGTCCCAGCCCCATTCCATTTCTGAGGGTGAGAGAGGAGATAAGAGCACATAGCCCGCTTGGTCCAGGGCTTCTGGGTTGAGGATTGACACCAGGGAGTGAAGTTGGTCCTTACTGGAGCTGTCTGCAATATGGGCATCGTGTCCCTGGAAAACAGACTGAAAGCAAATAAGGGCATTTCACACAGGCACCCACCCAGTCTGAGGGCAGTGGGCCTTGATCAGCAGTGGGCCTTCTGTGTTCTGGCTAGAAGGAGAAGGCTTCATGGTTCCCTCAGGCTCCCTGACTCCCCCACTTCCCCATCCAAGTGTGTTGAGTTGCTCCTCTAGTTCAATATGGTTAGGACAGACCAGTCAGAGCTTAAGGTAGTGGGAAGAGTGCCACCATCAGAGTATTTGGCAGGCAAGAGCTTGACACAATGGGCTGCTGTTCTTCTTGTTACAGGTATCAGGGACAAGAGGGCTGGGCCCCTGCATCATACCTGAAGAAGGGAAGTGGGGAGATGTTTACACAAAAACTGGGTTCAGGCTCTTCCACCCACTCCTCAGCTCTGGATCTGGATGGCATTTCCCGCCAGCAGAACTCAGCAGGCCGAGAGAAGGATGGCCCCAACAACCAGAGAGATGTGAGATTTGATGGTCGCTTGCAACCAAATGCTGACATCCGACGCAGTAAGTGGCCAGTGGAAAAATGCCAAATATTGGGTGTTTGGGACCTCATAGATGTGGCTGGGGGCCTCTGGGTCATACCTGCAAGTTAGTCCCTGGAACAGGGTGTGAATACTGATTTGTTCAGGGGAAAGGCAAGTTCATTAACATGCAGCCCAGCCTCCCCTCCCCCAACATGACGAGACCTTCTTGTGCCCCCCAGCTTAGCTTGCCCTAAGGGGTAGGGTGAGCTGGGAAGATGCTAGGTTCCCATAGTTACCCAGCAGACCAGACACCTCTCTGGGTTATATTGCTTTAGGGGAAGTGATGAGCTGGAAGAGAAGGATGATTAGCAGAGTCTAGATGTGGAGGTTGCTGCTGTTTCCCTGTGTTATATGCCCTGTTATATGCCTTGATAATGCAGTTTGAACCTCAATGCTCTATGCCATTCTTTCTCTACAGAGTCTCCAAAGATGAGGCAGAGACCCCCTCCTCGCCGAGATCTTACTATAGTAAGCATCCAGCTGCACCTGGACTTCCAGCATGCCATCGCTGCCATCTCTACAATGGCTGCTGGAGCCACCCATGCCTCCTTGGTTCTGGATAAAGTAAACAAAGTGTTTGTGGCAGACTGAATGGGAAAAGGGTGTCAGAGTAGCTCTGGTGCCCACAGGTCCTTGCCTGGGAGCTGCCCATGCGTGGCAGCTCTCTGGTGTGCAGAGGACCGAGTGCATGGCAAGGCTTCCCTTCTGCCACAACAGTCACCTGGTTGCATTTGATTTTCAAGCAAATCCTAGCGGATTTTTAAGCTTAGGGCAGGTCAGTCCAGTTGGTTCCCTGAGGTCTGCCTGCAGCCCACAAGGTATTAACTTGCAGCCTACAGATTCTTGCCCAGCCATGCCCAGCCCTGTGGCTCCTGCTGTTGTGACAGCAGTGACTGGAGTCCCTGTAGCAGGACGGCACAGCACAGCAGGAGGTCTGGTGAGCTTGCTGTCCATGAGGCAGTGTCAGTGGGAGGACTCAGACAGGGCTTGTGCTGCTGTCTCAGCAACAGTGTGAAGGGCTCCGCCTGTGCAATGGTGGCAGAAGGCGGGGTGTCTCATGTGGTGGCAGTGGGGGGGTGGCTCATGTGGCAGAGATGGAGGGGCCTTTACCTGCACAGTGACGGTGGCTGTGGAGGTGAAGCTCACACTGCTTGTGTAGCAGAGAGATAAGGCTCATACTACTTGTGCAGTAGCAGTAAGGGAGCTCACATGTTGGGGGCCCCTGGGATCCCATGCGGCCCTATGACATTCAGCCCTCCACCACTCTGAAGCTGGACAATCCTGGGTTAGGGGATGATTGGATATAAACAAAATCTTTTGCCTGTTCCATTTTCCTAGGCTAGTGGTTCTGCAGAATATGCTATTGAAAGGAATCTGGGTGGTTTTGCATTCAGCCTGAAAATCCTTTTAGCGGCTGCGTCATTACGGATATTACTGAGCACTCAGCTGGCCGGCATCGCTCTGAATAGCCAGGCAATATGAGCCATTTATACAAGTGTAACAAATAAGTTGGCTGACTGTTTTTTATTACAACAGCCCCGTGGTTTGAACCTACCTAAACCTCCTGTCCCTCCCCAAGTGGAAGAGGAATATTACACCATTGCTGACTTCCAGACCACCATCCCTGATGGCATCAGCTTCCAGGCAGGAATGAAAGTGGAGGTAAAACTGCTTTGTCATCCTTGACTCCTTGCATTTCCTCCACCACATCACCCACCCAGCTCAGTGCGAGTGGGTCTGAGGCCACCTTCTGATTTGCCTTCATTGAATTTTTCCATGGCTGGTTCCAGTCACCATAGCTTTAATATTATATGACTCCCAACTCTTGTTGGCCTTGGGGTTGGTATGTAGACATGGAGTCCATTCCCAAGCAGGGATGTGCTTTGAACAGAGGTGGGGTAGGCTGAATCCTGGTAGGAATTAATATATACCTATCTGTGAGGGCCTATGGTTGACTCTAAACCAGTATAAGTGTCAGTTACCACAAAGGCACCAGGAAGCTCCATTACAGAGAAGAAGTCCTTGCACATGCTCATGAACCTTTGGAGTCTCTGACCCCAAGATGCTCTATTGGCCTTCTGTTCTGATGTATGCTTAGTTTTGTCAGTATAACTGTGTCACCTTGGAGCTTCCAAATGCTATTCCCCACCCCCAAATGCCACAGCTATGCTGGCAGAAGCTCTCTGTTACCAGCAAGAAAACACTTATGCCCATGTACTTCATTTACTTCAGGGAAGTTGTCTAAGCTGCCCTGTTAAAAGCACACAACGCTGGTTTAAGCAAGCTGTGCCTAGCTATACCAGCAAACCCTGTCCAGTGCAGACAGGGCCACAGTCTGAACTATGAACACCTTTCAACTTCCCTGGTAGGTGTCCTAGCTGAATGGCCCAGCAGTGACACCCTGTGGCCAGTTGCAAATGCTTCTTCTACTCTAGTCTTAAAAGGACCCAGAGTGTCTTTGTCTGTTGCTTCCAGTCTGAAGTGTGATGCTGAACCCAGTAGATTGTCCCCTATATAATAGGCATGCCTAAGATTTTATTTTGTTTCCCTTTGAAAACTACTGCCAGTTTAGTGCACATGAAAGTGAGGACGTTAGAAAAGTCTGAGTCACCAAGGCCAGAATCAGCCAGGGGTAGGTGTAGTGAGTAGCTTCCAATGCTGTGGTATCCTGACCTGCAACATGCTCTGTTGCACCACTCCGGGGGTTTTCCCCACTCAGCTCAGTCCTAATCCACAGTGCTTTTTGCCATTCCATGTTTACTTTTTTGAATGACACTCAGCCCTGGTGTGCAGGACCCCTGCTCTTACCATGTCTGTCCTGTCCAATTGTGCAATGTGTGTTGTTGATGTGGCCCAACATCGATTAGTAACAAACCACCACACTTCCTGTGTAATCATATCAGGCTTTGATACTGAGCTTGCAGAGGGTCAGCAGAGTGACCTGGAGCACTGAACTCAGACATGAGGGTGCCTGTAGATGTTCAGGGAAGCTGTTTCGATGCAGTGCAATTAATCGAGTCTGCTGGAGAGTGCTAATTATCGTGCCTCCAGCAGCCTCCATTCTCTTGTATCAGTGTCAAATGAGCTTTGGTTAAAGCACCCCCGCTGCCATTTTGAAATGAGGGGGCGCTGATACATGAGACACTGCCAGCGCTTTAATTAGAGCAGCTCTTGGAGTGATTCTAATTCAAGTGCCCTGACCCTCACCCCAGAGTGCATGTAAAAATGCCCTGGGAGACCTGGGGTCTATATCTGGCCTGCTGCATGGCCTTGGCCAAGTCTGTTCCCCTCCTGATGCCTTGGTTTCCTCATCTGAAAAATGGGGATTCCCTAGAAAGGCTGTGGAATCTCCATCTGAGAGCAGGTTAGACAAATACTTGGTTAAAACATGGATGTTCCCACCTTGAGCATGGAGCTGACCCAGAAGACCTCATGAGGTTCCTTGCAGCCATATCTGTCTATGTTCTGTGAAAACAGTTGTAATGATATTGACCTCCTCTAAGGTTGACTGATGGTAACATGCTATAGTTTCATAGTTGGTAGGGTTGGAAGGGACCTGAGCAGATCATCAAGTCCGCCCCCCTGCCATGGGCAAGGAAGAATGCTGGGGTCAAACGACCCCAGCTAGGTGATTATCTAGCCTCCTTTTGAAAACCCCCAGGGAAGGAGCGAGCACCACTTCCCTTGGAAGTTGGTTCCAGATCCTAGCCGCCCTGACTGTGAAGTAGTTCTTCCTGATGTCTAGCCTGAACCTACTCTCAGTCAACTTGTGGCCATTATTCCTAGTTACTCCTGGTAGTGCTCGGGGGAACAGGGTCTCTCCCATTCCCCGCTGGTCCCTGTTGGTAAGTTTATAGATGGCCACCAAGTCCCCTCTCTGCCTTCTCTTGTGAAGGCTGAACAGGTTCAGGTCCTGTAGCCTCTCCTTATAGGGCCTACCCTGCTGCCCCCTGATCATGCGAGTGGCCCTCCTTTGGACCCTCTCGATGCTAGCCACATCCCTCCTGAAGTGCAGTGCCCAGAACTGGATGCAGTACTCCAACTGTGGCCTGACCAATGCCGCATAGAGGGGGAGGATCACCTCCTTGGACCTGCTTGAGATGCATCTGTGGATGCACGACAAGGTGCAGTTGGCCCTACTGACCACGTCCTCACATTGGCAGCCCATGTTCATCTTGGAGTCAGTAATGACTTCAAGATCCTTTTCTACCTCTGTGCTAACGAGAAGGGAGTTCCCCAACCTGTAGGTATGCTGCTGGTTCTTCCTCCCCAGATGTAGTACCTTGCACTTGTCAGTATTGAAACCCATCCTATTCTCATCTGCCCACCTCTGTAACCTGTCCAGATCTAGTTGTAGCCTATCCCTCCCTTCTAATGTGCCCACTTCTCCCCACATCTTAGTGTCATCTGCAAACTTGAACAAGGTGTTGAACAGGGGGTATTATCAAACGCCTCCTTTATGCAAAGATGTTGAACACTCATCTCCCGCCTACCTTTTTTTTAATACCCTACTCCATCACAGGCAGTTGTTAAACTTAAAGGGATGGTTCATAGATTTCTAATCTGTTTTTGTTTCTTCTTGCAGGTGATTGAAAAGAACCTGAGTGGCTGGTGGTACATTCAGATTGATGAAAAGGAAGGCTGGGCCCCAGCTACGTTCATTGACAAATACAAGAAAACTAGCAATGCATCTAGACCTAACTTCCTGGCACCATTACCTAATGAGATGGTCCAGCTCCGACTTGGTGATGTCACTGTGGAAGACAGTGCCAGTGAAGAAGCCACTGGGCCATGCAGACCTCTGCCTGAGGCACCACCGAATGGCATGGACTGTGGAACAAAATGGGCCAAAGACTGGAAGGGAAAGGACTCCCTGGAGAGTGGGGATTTAGCTGTAGCCTCTGGGTATGAAGAGATCCCTGATCAGGATATAGAAGAGAAGCCCAGCCTCCCACCCAGGAAGGAGTCCATCATTAAATCTGAAGGTGAGTTCATGGAGAGACAGAGGCCTCCACCCAAGCCCCCGGGCATGATTTTGCCAATGATCCCTCCAAAGCAGACACCTGCTCCCAGGGACAGCAAGAAACCAGAGCTGAAAACAGAAAAAGGCAAATTGTTCCAGCTGAAAAATGAAATGGGTCTGGAATGCGGGCACAAGGTGTCAGCCAAGGAAGTGAAGAAGCCAAACCTGCGACCCATCATCAAACCAGCCAAGCCCAAAGCTGAGCCCTTGGAGGACAAGCCTGAGCCAACTACCCAGAATCCTTTTTTGAAATCAAGACCTCAGGTCAGGCCCAAACCAGCTCCAGCCCCAAGAACAGACCTGCCTCCAGTAGATGATAAACTGGATATTTGCAGTCTAAGAAGTAAGCTTAAACCTGCAAAGTGCCAAGAGAGGTCCTCAGAGCAGGACCCTGGGGCTAGTGAAAATTCCTTCAGTAACAATGCGCTCCCAGCAGATGCTCCTGGCTGGCCTCAGGAACAACCGAGTGCCGAGAACAGGCCCCTGCCCAAACAGGACAGCCAGATCCCAAAGGAGGCTCCACCAAAAGCTCCCTTTGGCCCAGCAAAGACGACTGACAGTGAGCCAAAGAATGGCTTCCCCATTGTCAGGGAGCCACCACCTCAGCGGCCAGTGGTACCACCCAGGAGGCCACCTCCTCCAAAGAAAGCAACACCTTGCTCCAGCGGCTCTACTTCAGACCTGAAAGCTCCTCAGAGGGAAGTGCCTGACCTCAGAGCTGCCTCAGTGCCTGGCAGGCCCATGCTGGTCCCACCGAAAGCTAAACCATTCCTGCCTGCTTTGGGCCAAGATGAAGCCAAAGTGAAAAGCAACTTAGGCCCAAAGGTAACACCCAGGCAGGTGGAGAGAGGAGAAGCTAAGGAGAGGACAGCTGCTCCCTTCCCCAATCCAGATATCTCCAAAGAAGCCCTCTATGTGGCAGTGGCAGATTTTGAAGGAGATGAGGAAACTAACAGCTTTAAAGAAGGGACTTTATTTGAAGTTCGTGAGAAGAACAGCAGTGGCTGGGGGTTTTGCAAAGTCCTAACTGGGGGGGCTTGTTGGGAAGGCTGGATTCCTTCCAATTATCTAAGAAAGAAGCCATAGTCTGCCCTCTGTTTACACAGTTGGAGGTTCCCATTCTTTCACCTGAGTATTTAATTAGCTTATTAATTTATAGTTTTCCATAATTCTGGCTTACAAAATATTTGGGATACTATACATTCCAGTCTGTGCCATTCCTGAGGCTGAACTCAAGAAGCAGCTTGACATAATACAGCTAGGCCTCCATTCCCGCTCTGTCTGCTGCTCTCCCCCCACAGGAAATACTCCCCTCCATTGTCTATTTGGGGCTGCCCAGCCCTTGTAGATGGGTATGTGAAGTTGTTTCACAGCAAGTTTTTGGGTCTATGTTAGCAAATACAGCTTTTCCCCCATGCTAGGACAATGACAGACTTTTTGCTAAGAATACAGGTAGACCAGAGGAAATCCAGCCTCTAGGCAGGTAAAGAAACAAAGCCAGCCCCATGTGCCCAAAGGAAATTTGGAATGGCAAAAGGAGTTGCTTTTTCTGGTGGCTCAGGGCCATGGTTAGGTGTCATGCATCATATTGCCTAGTGTAGCCATATACATAAGTCATGGAAAACCAGGGATATCCTTCAGCATCAAATCCTGTAAGATTGCTGTGTGTGCACACATCTGCAGAGTGTTTCTTGTGATCATATATTTTGCAAGAGTTCAGGTTTGTGCCTTCTTCCCCCTTGTTTGTGCCATGAAACACAGTTCTTTAGCTCCTTGTTTTTTCTTTAATGACAAGTGTTAATTTAAACATCATTCAGGTTTTTTTAAAGTATGCTAATGGGATGGGAGAACCTCTCTGTGCTGAAAAGACTTGTACGTGGCAGTATTTTGGACAAGCAGTGGAATTCATTTCACTTCAGTAGGTGGTGGGAGCAATGTGCCATGTTATCCAGGGGGATCAGAAATAAGGACTTGAAAACCCCATAAGCCCTGGGAAGAGAAGGGTGCTGGGAGAATGCTTGCCCTCCTCCCCCCTACTGACTACACCTCTGCTTTTCCTATAGACTGCTAGGGAAGTCATGTTCTTCACCCATGCTGCTCCCCAGAGCTGGCAGGCAGCTACAAGAAGGCAGCTATGCCACAGCAGGTGCTGGTATTGTCTAGTGCAGTCTAAGAGTATGGGGTTGCCCTTCAAGGTGAATAGTTATAGGGTATATTGGGCTCTTCTAGTGCTCAGGTGGTGTTATGTCTCCTCAAGTTAAATCATCCTTCTGTTCACTCTTGTTCTGCTTTACTTTGCTGGGGGAGGGGGTGAAGTGAGGGAGGGCAGTGCCTTTTTTTGATGCCTTGTGTCCCATTACAGAAAAATCTCTCTCTCTCTCTCTCTCTCTAACCATAAAAGCCTGTTAAACTCCCTCTGAAATAGTTTGCCTTTCTGTTCCTCATCTGTATTTCCCACTGTTTTCTAAGTATGTAGTTTGTATTCATTTTCATGCATAGGTCAGTGTGCTTGGAGGCTTTAAGTCAAATAAAGTCTGGGTTTTTCCATGCTCACTATCCAATCTGCTACACCTTGCTCACAGTATTATAATTCCACTTGCTCTCAATATTGTTAATCCCAGGAAAGCTGGTTACATCCAGTTGGCCACAACTCCTTCATGTTGTTTCCTTTCTTTTTATACTATGGTACTTGGGTACTTGTGGACTCCAGACATTGCTTTCCCTATCATGTAAGAGTTTTAAACCCCACTAAAGGTTTTCCGTTGGGGAAAACTTTAGGCCCAAGTTTTCCCTACCCCATACTCATTGCACCTAGCTGCAGATCTGACTTCAGAGATGTATAGTTTCTATTGTTGAACTTAATGTAGCATTTCCTCTAATGGGGGGCCAAAAGAGTCAATCACTGAAGTTGTTTTCCTTCCTTCCTATTAGTTGAACTGACTCCACCCCTGTTCATCCAATATTCCCTTTTAAAGGTTAACAGAAGATTTTAACTCTTAGTTTATAGAGCAGAAACAGGGAGAACAGCTCTGTCCCTCGCTATTATTTTATTTCATAATTAGAATTTATGGGCAATGTAGTAATTAATAATCTCATTGCTCTGCTGAGACGCAGTAACCCTAACTTATATAGCAGTCAATAAACAAGGCCTCTCATGGTATTTGTGATACAGTTGTGTGTGCCCTACAGAATGAGGTGACAGTTTAACAGAAAAGCATGTGCTTTGTCTCTTTGCACCGTTGCTCAGTTAAAACTCTGTGTCAATAGGGACATGGCTGATTATGGGTTAAGCTGGGCCTGTCTATCAGTCTTTTTTTTTTTCCAAACAGAGCCAGACAGTATTGTCTGCCCTCCCTCCCTAGCCCATCCTCCCTCCCCATCCCATGTTGCTTTTGGTGTATGTTTTAACCAATGATTGATATAAACTGTGTACACTTTCCCTGTGGCAGTGCCATCTTATTCTCTGTTTATTGTGTGGCATTTTAGTCCTGAGGTATTTCATCTCTCTCTGTCACTCTTAGACCTCATTGATCTTTGTCGTGCTCACATGGAACAGTGCCATTTCTGTTGCTCTCATGCTAAAATAAGGTTCTCTTCTTTTTCCCTCCCAGACTAAATGCTGGTGCTGTTAATGCCCAAGTGTAAATGTTTCATATTGTAGGATACACATACTGTATTTGGCTGCAACTCATAACTGCAGCATCAGTCCATAGTTACATAAAGGTGTAAAGGTGTCACAGTGCTTACCAGCACCTGCTGTATATCAGATGGGTTCATTGGGTCAGAGCACTATGCACTGCTCTCAGACTTAAAGATCAGAAATAACCATCTAATGTCCCTGCCACTTTCTTCTGGTTTACATATTTGAAACGGAAAGGGATTCCAGTATCAAAAGTAATCTCAGTAAGGAAGAGCTTGAGTCACGTTCCCCAAATACTGTACTCTTCTACATGATGCCCCACTCTTTCATCTAATATCCGCAACATAGATCCTCAGACCCAGAGAGTGTGATCCAGTGCTTGAGTGCAGGAGTGCCTGTGCTGGCTCCCTCACTTTGTTCCTGAAGCCCTGTGCTCCAGGGCAGGATGTGTCACATGTCTGTGCCTCAGTTTACCCATCTGTAAAATGAGGTTAATTTTACCGACCTACCTCGCTGGGGGATTGCTCGGTTAGTTAATGTTCATGAAAGCACTTTGAGATTCGAAGCTGAAAGGCACCAGAGAAGGACTGAACATCATTCTCCATGCAAATCCCAGGTACCATCACATAATTAGATGGCCCCCTCTGCTGCAAAGTACCTGCTTGCCATGTAATTCTCCTTACTATGCAACTCAGAGACTGGCATTCCCTGTGTGGGTGAAGACCAGCATGTCTCCTGTATCCTGACCCTCGGCTTTGCAGTTCTTCAACGCAGTGTACCACAGGCAGGCTGGAGGCCTCTCAACTGCACTTCACTCCTTTGTGAACTATAGAAGCCTGTTTGTCTCTTTATACTATGTAAACACGTATACATCTCTACATTATTGCGGGTGGAGGTGTCTGAGGAAAGTAGATGTAGCCTATGTAAATGCCATAGCTATACTTTTGCCATTATAGGGTTGATTATTTTTTGTTTTGTTTTTTGTTTTTGAATAAAAGTTGCTTGACTGGTTTCAAGCAGATTTGTGAACAGGTCTGTGCCTGGTGTGTGTCTGTGCTGCTAACGAGCAGGCTGTCATGGAAAACTGTCCTTCTGGTGCTGGGAGACCAAAACTAAGTGGCCTTTGGAAAGTGTGATCTATCCAAATGCTTCAGTGTGTGACTTCAAACACCTGGGAGCCCTTGTTCTAACCAGGAAGCTAAAGGAGGCCAAGCGACTCTATTGGGATTTTCAGTGGCAGTACAGCTGCTTCTTTGATTATTTTCTTTGCTTCTGTGTGTCCCTCACAACAGCATGTGACCCATGTTTTAATTCTTACTCCCGGGAGCAGAAGCGCTGCTCTTCAAGCAGTTCATGAGACTACCCTTGTGTGGTGACTGTGAAACCTGTCCAGTCAATCAGTGAAGAGCTCTGGGACTCCCTGAATACAGAGCTGGGTGGAATGGGCTGCAGGTGCAAAGTGCAGCTTTGTCAATGGTTTGTTTTCATAAGAAGAACAGGAAATACCTGTGCAGGAAAATATTGTTTCGCCCATGATTATTGGTATTGCAATAGCACCTGTGAGCTTGAGTCAGGCACCCTTGTGCTGAGTTGTATACAAACCCATCACTGTGTAAGGCAAAGATACAACAGGTAGGCACAATAGGTAAGTTCTTGACCCTGTGCTGGGGGGGACTCCTGAGAAATGAAGATGAAGTGACCCACTGGCATTTCCCTTGGTTCTGTTAGCCCATCATGAATAGACAGCACTACAGAAGAGGGAGAATAAGCAAAGGCCCTTGAGGCAACAGAGAAAAAGATGCTCAGATATGGGAAAGGAAAGAGAAGGCACAACAGATTCTAGGAAGGATGGTAAGTCTGAGGTTTCTATTGCTCTTATAAAGTTTGATGTAATGTGACCTAATACTGTCAAGATATGGGGTGACATGGGTGGGATCATGAGTGCATTGCAACACATTCTGCCCAGAGAGCACCATGTCCTGAATATTTGAAATTCGAATTACACAAGGCTCTTTATTAAGAGGCTTGGATGTGGATTTAATCAGAGACCAAGCTTTTGATAGCTGTATAATCTCCTTCTAGATGACTGAGGTCACCTTTGTTTATGGGCGAGCCCCAGGAGAGGTATGTACCCTGACTTCAAAGAGCACGTGCTCCTGCTACCTGTTGTAAACAATGATCCCAGGGTGCTGGCCCCTCACTGTGCCTTGACTTGCCCAGGCAACCCCATGCAAAGTGGGGGATGTCAATGAGTGCAGAAGCTACATGATGTGTTTAGTAAGTAATACCCTGTCAGGACAGTGGATCTCTCCAAGGCTATTTGTGCCTAAAAAAACAGTCTCTCACCCCAACTGCAAGCACCTAGACTAATGTTCTAATTTGTGTAGCAAGTGTTTGTATCAGGCACAGCCCACGTGGGCTTATTCTTTGTATTCAGCTTTGTTTTATAATGCCAACCTGTATGTTACATTATAATAGAGCCACAGAGTTTATATCTGGTTCCAGCCCTCTCCTCCTCTTTCCCCAGCAACCTCTGGGGTTGCTTAGCTCTGAAAATGCTTGGGGCAGACCTTAATAGTGCCATGGAAGAGTTGAATTTGGCCCGGCGCCCTGGTAAAATCCTTTGGAAGCCTCAGCTTCCTCCATCACACCAGGTAAGGATAACCCTGTGGTTTTTTTAATTTTAGTCTTAGCGTGGAAGACTGCCCTACTTCATCCTCAGGACATATGTCCCATGACCTTCCTTGAAGCCAGTGATTCTCAACCAGAGTGTAGAGCACCCTGGGGCACCACAAGATCCTCTGAAGGGTGCTGCAAAGTGTTAAGAGAGAAGCAGGTGCAAGGAGATAAGTGCAGGCTCAGGCTTGTCCCTGCCTGTTGCTGCCTTTCCCCCACTTCCCGGCCCCTTGGCAAGGAGGTGCTGCTCGGTTCACAAATGTTATGGGTGGGAGCCTTGGGTCAAATGAGGAGTATCTTGCATCTGAAAAAGTTGAGAAGCACTGCTCTTGCCTAGTCCTTGTGTCCTCCAGACATCACTGGACGAGCTGTGGTCTCTGGGATATTGGACTTAATAGGAAAGATAGTGGGCTCTGTTCTTGGCACTGCCACTAGCTAGCTGTTTGGCCTTAAGGAAGTCCTTAAGGCCTTAAAGAAGCTCTCTACACACTGCTCCCCCCTGCCCAGACCCCAACGCTGTCTTGTCTGTTTGGACTGTAATCCCTCAGGTCAGGCTGCACACCTAAACCTGTACTTCCTGTGCTGTGTTATGTGTCTTGAACAGTTGTCTGCATCACAAACAGCACTGCTGCTACCGGTCCTGAACAGCCCCTTTCTCAGTCCCCTCCCAGATGAGGCCAGGGACACTGAGCAGGCCCTAGGAAAGTAGACAATCCCTCTTATTCATCAGTGAATCCTGCTAGATGGGGGGATGAACCTCTCCCTGCTGCTGACTCGGCCCCACTTGTATAGTTAACCAGGGGGCTTGCAGCTAAATCCATTGGCATTTTGGTTTGATCTCAGTCAGCTGCTCAGCGCTCCCCCACCCCCAGAGCCTTGTCCCCACTCTTTGAAATATCTGTGAGGGAATTAAGGTTTTCCCTGACACTGGTTGGGTCAGACTTGGAACTCTTGGTTTGTCCTCAGTGATATCTAATATACTGGGTAATGGCTTCAGATAAGACTCCACGAAAGTGAGGCCACAGGACAAGCTGCCTTCTCACTACACCCCAGTGAGTAAATCCCTAGAGACTGCTTAAGGTCCAAGGCAGGTGCTTGTTGAGCAGCTCATAATTTTCCGGTTGCCATTGCAACTTTATCACTAGCAATTTTTGATCAAAAGGGGGTGTTAGAAGCTGGCATATAGACAGTCCTTGGACTTAGGACACAATTGGTTCCTGAAAACCACATCTTAAGTCAAAACGTAACTTGGAACCAATTTTCTCATAAGAAACAATGTTATAAATGGGGGATTGGTTCCTGAACCAAGCCCCGATACCCTGTTTTCACCAAAAATACCCCAGAATTTTGTAGTCGATCAATTATAGATGAGTAATATAGCTACATTAATGTAAATAGCAATCTCATTGATTTGGAAGGGCTTCTTTGAGGTGACTTTGTTGGACTTTTTGAAGGGTTCTTGACTGGGGTCTTCTCAGGCAGCTTGGCTGCAGGTTTTTCTGGAGTCTCGTCTGCTTTCTTAAATAAAGTGTCCAAGGAAGTTTGGACAGATTTTCTCCAGGGAGATGAGTGATGCAGTGAACTTGTTCATTGGCGTGGCGTTGCATCGGATCAAGCGTTGTAAAGTTGAAACTGATTTCATAAAATTGAAACGGTGTCGATTTATAAAAGTAAATGCGAAACATAACTCGAAGCGTTGTAAATTGAGGACTGCCTGTAATTACCAGTAAGTTTCCCTACTCTTTCTTATAGGATCTCATGTCACTTCCATCATATTGGTGAAAGCTGGGAAACAATGCCTCTAATAGCATTCCCACTGTCCATGATCTTAGCTTCAGGTTACTGCAGCTACAACACAGTGATCCCATGCCAAAGCCATCGTTCCAAACCTGTCCCCACTGCGCAGTTTGGAGAAAGGGGGGAATGCTGAAAAAAGGAGGGCTGGCTCCATAGCTGTCCTGCTTAGATTTTCCAGAATCAGAACTTGATGTTGCATAGTCACAAATGTTTCTTCTCTCAGGAGTGTAGGTTGTAGCTGTGTTGGTCTAAGGACAGAGGCAGACAAGGTTCCTTGGGTGAATCTGATATCTTTTATTAGACCAACCCAAATAGTCGGAGAATAGTTATTAAGCAAGCTTTCGGGTTCAAAAACCCTTTGTCAGGCCAAGGAATTTTCAGCAGTTGGTGTGTGCTGAGCATGCAGGAAGAGCACACACCAACTGCTGAAACTTCCTTAGCCTGACAAAGGGTTTTTGAACCCGAAAACTTGCTTAATAATTATTTTCCAACTATTTGGGTTGGTCTAATAAAAAATATCAGATACACCCAAGGAACCGTTTCTTCTCTCAGGTTTTTATACTGAATAAATGAGTCTCCACCAGGCAGAGATGAATTTAGAGACAATGGTGAGGCAGGAGTTGACCACCTGCATCTGGGGTGCTGTTTCATCAGGGAGGGGACTGACTGATGATTTCTCCAGAGTTGCTTTATTTCGGTGTCAGTAATGAGCTTTGGCCATCCTACTTCACCGGCTCTCTGCTTCAGGCAGCCACTGTGTGGTGCTGTCGCCTTGCCATGTCTGCAGCAGCAACTGAAGTAGTAAACTGCTTTTGCCTTTTGTGCAGTGGGCTAATTGGGGTGGGCTGAACTGCAGCATTTAACTGTGGTGCAGGCAGGTTCCTTGCAAAGACAGATGTGCTAGTGATGTGCCCTGCACCTGCAGTGGAGGCAGGAGTGGGCTGTGGAGTCCATGCTGGAAACACGGCTGTTAATGGCCTCTTGCTTGTGTGACCGAGGAGGCAGACGAGGGATTTCTCTCTCACCACAAGGCAGGACCTCAGGTTGCCTTGTGGGCGTAGCAGAAAATGTGTTTTGTGTGAGCTACTCTTCTCATGGCTACTCCTGGGTTTCCCCTGCCCCAAAGTCTTTCTGCCGCTTGCCTCAGATGCCCTCAGTATGGTACAGTTCCTTAACCCAAACTGCCTGAACTATTTGGAGAGGGGTCTTCTTTTTATTCTGCACAATGGGACCCCCTGTGTGTCTTCAGTGGACAGAAGGGGGGGGGCGGGTCTTGCTATTCAGATCATAATAATGAACATTTATTAGCCAGCCACTGTGTTTCCCTGGCTTGGCCTAGAAGCCCCCAGGCAATGAGAAATGTCATTGCTGTTCTACACGTCTGTCACTAAAGTATTGCTTTCCTCTGGCAGATGTTGGGGTGGTACGGCAGCAGCACTTTCCCATCCCGCTGCTGGATGGAGCCTGCTGCTGATTTTCTTTGCTGCTTGCGTCAAGCAAAAATCCCTGCATGTGCCAAGGAGGCATTGGCTCTGCTCAGAATCCAGCAGGAGCCCTCGGGCAGAAACGGC